TATATGTATATTTCGAGTTACATATCAATTTAATGGTTTTTAAGGGCACTTTTAATTTGATAAACAAATAATGACAAAATTTCATTAAATAATTACAAACATTGTATTAATTAGCTTTACAGTTGCAAAAAAAAGTAAGGAAAAAAATTAAAATAAAAAAAGTAATGATATGAAATATAAATAAAAATCAAATTAAATCAAAAAAGACATGAAAAAATACAATGTAATGAAAAAAAACAAAAAATAAATAAATAAAAAAGGGAATGAAGAAAAGAAAATTTAATAGAAAAATGAAATAAATGAAGTAAAGGAAATACAAAAGAATGAAAAGAAAGTAATGAAATGAAATGTAAAATAATAGTGAAATGAAATATTAAATAATAATGAAATGAAATATGAAAAAAAGTAAAACACAAAATGAAAGAAAAATGAAACAAGGAATAAAAAAAAAAAAGAAACAAATTACAAGAAACAAACCAGGGGGTATGAATGGGTCATGGGACCCACGGTAAGAACAAAGTTCTTTAAACATGAGATAAGTAGAAAGACAAGTAAGTATTGTATTTATCCATGACGTACTTACGAAGCTCACCTAAGGTGAGTACTAAAAAAAATTTACTTATTTATTTTTATTCGTTTTTCAAGTTTTTGTTTTAGTGAACTACATGAATGCAGTACTTATTTTTATAGAGCTTTGTTCTTCCTATGGGTCTAGCGATCCCCTTGTTACCGGAGAAATTATGTGTCTTTATACTCATCTCATGTTCAAAGAACTTCGTTCTTACCGTGGGTCCCATAACCCATTTGTACCCCCTGGTTTGTTTATTTTAATTGGTTTCTTTTTTTTTATTTCTTGTTTTATTTTTTTTTTCATTTCTTGTTTTATTTTATTTTTTCATTTCTTGTTTTATTTTTTTCATATTTTGTTTTCATTATTACTTTATCATTCATTTCACTATTATTTCATATTTCCTTTCATTACTTTTTTTTAATTCTTTTGTATTTCCTTTCATTTTTCTTTTTAATTTTCTGTTTTTCATTTCCTTTTTAATTTAATTTTTTTTTTTTTTTTCCTTTCTATTAATAATTTTGATAAACCCTTGCGTGTGTCGCAAGCCCCGCATTAAATTCTTACGCAAGAAAATTGTTGTTGATGTTTGTTTGTTTGTTTGTTTTTTTTTTTTTTTTTTACACAAAAAACGCTTGGATGC